GGCATGGAAAACTTGTGGGTGACCAAATGGATTTTGTTTATATCGATGAGGTTCAAGATCTCACAATGAGTCAAATTGCTCTGTTTAAGCATGTGAGCAACAATGTTGAAGAAGGCTTTGTCTTTTCTGGTGATACAGCACAAACAATTGCTAGGGGTATTGATTTCAGGTTCCAAGATATACGGCATCTCTTTTACAAGAAGTTTGTGTTGGAAGCTAGAGGGAATGAGCCTCACGAAAGAAAAGAAAAGGGACAAATATCAGAAGTTAAACAATTGACTCAAAACTTCCGTACCCATGCTGGTGTATTGAAGTTATCACAGAGCATTGTTGAACTACTTTATCGTTTTTTCCCCCAATCGATTGATATTTTGGCACCTGAAACCAGTCTGATATATGGGGAAGCTCCGGTGGTGCTTGAATCCGGAGAAGATGAAAATGCAATCGTAAAAATTTTTGGGAATAGTGGAAATGATAGTGCAAATATAGTTGGCTTCGGAGCAGAGCAAGTTATTTTGGTCCGTGATGATGATGCTAGGAAAGAAGTTTCCAAATTTGTTGGGAAGCATGCTCTTGTTCTGACCATAGTGGAATGCAAGGGGCTTGAATTCCAGGTGATTTCTTCTTGTCATCTATATCCCTTTTTTATGCTTGTGAAATTTTTTGCTGCTGCCCGCTTTACTTATTATGATATTTTCAGTTCGTTGGATCTTGATATGTTTTTTGAGTTTATATTTGGTTTCATTTATGACATTTATGACTTGTTTGTAGGATGTACTCTTGTACAACTTTTTTGGCTCATCACCAATGAAAACGAAATGGAGGGTCATATATGATTATATGAAGGACCAATATTTACTTGACTCCACATTGCCCCAACGCTTTCCAAGGTTCAGTGAAGTCAAACACAACATCTTATGCTCTGAACTCAAACAATTATATGTTGCTGTTACTCGGACAAGACAGAGGTTGTGGGTTTGCGAGAATGCAGAAGAGATTTCCAAACCAATGTTTGACTATTGGAAGAAGAAATGTCTTGTACAAGTTAGGCAACTGGATGATTCCCTTGCACAAGCAATGCAAGTTGCAAGCAGCCCCGAGGAGTGGAAATCACGAGGCATTAAGGTTTGCCTAATTACTTATGTTAAAGCGCCATTATTTTCTAGTAATATTGAGAAAATCCTCTCTTTGTTTGTTGCAGCTATACCACGAACATAACTATGAAATGGCCACAATGTGCTTTGAAAGAGCTGGTGATACTTATTGGGAAAGAAGGTCCAAAGCTGCTGGCCTTAAAGCTATCGCTGATCGTATGCGGACTTCAAATCCTGTAGAGGCCAATACCATTCTTAAGGAAGCTGCTGAGATATTTGATGCTATAGGCAAGGCAGATTCCGCAGCTAGATGTTTTTCTGATTTGGGAGAGTATGAAAGAGCAGGTATGACTCTTTTAACACCTGCTATTTGTCCTCTTTCTGTTTTAATTTTTTTTGTTAAAGTTTAAAGTGAATTACAATAGCATTTTCTTCTTTAAAAATAAAATAAAAAAAAGTGAAATTTCAATAGCATTCTGATAAAATTTGGTTTATCATTTGTTGGACTTTAATCCTCCGAAATCTTGCATCCCAGCCTGTAATTATTTGTACTATCGCTTAATCTAGAAAACTCAAGTTTGATAAGTAAGTTTTCTCATCTTATAACTTTTAATGATGCAGCTAGGATTTATTTGGATAAATGTGGTGACTTGGAAAGAGCAGGAGAATGTTTTTCTCTGGCAGGATGCTATCAATATGCCGCATATGTGTACGCTAAAGGCAATTTTTTCTCCGAGTGTCTCACTGTTTGTGCCAAAGGAAAGCTATTTGAAATGGGTTTGAAATACATCGAATATTGGAAGGAGCATCCAGTAGAGGACACTGCTGTGGCCACAAGAGGAGAAGGAATAGATAAAATTGAGCAGGAATTTCTGGAGAGCTGCGCACTTCACTATTGCGAGTTGAAAGATAACAGATCCATGATGAAGTTTGTTAGAGCTTTTAATTCTATAATTTCAATGCGAAACTTTTTGAAGAAGTACGCTACTCTTGATGAGCTGCTTCTGTTGGAAGAAGGATTTGGAAACTATCTTGAGGCCGTAGAAGTAGCAATACTGAAAGGTGATATTCTACTCGAAGCTGATTTCCTTGAGAAGGCTGGCAAGTTCAGAGAGGCATCATTGCGTATTCTATTCTATGTGCTTGCCAACTCTCTTTGGTCATATGGCAGCAAGGGGTGGCCTATTAAGCAGTTTTCACAAAAGAAGGAGCTTTTATCAAAAGCCAAGTCGTGTGCTAACAATGAGTCTGAAAGCTTTTATGAGTTTGTTTGCACTGAGGTAGACATTTTATTGAATGAGCAGAGTAGCTTGGCTCTGATGAAAAACCAAATGAATGCCTGCGAGAGACATAGGAGTATTGGAGGTGAAATTTTGTCGGCTCGAAAAATACTGGATGCTCATCTTTCTTCAAGTGCCAATAAGTACGTGTGGGTAAAAGAATTGGTTGATGATCCGGTAAAGCGTTCAGAAGACAGGATATCTGAGAACCAGGTTTCTACACATTCGTTGATGTACATCTGGAACTTTTGGAAGGATAAAATTGCTTACATGATTGAATGTCTTGGATGCCTTGATACCCAAGATTTGAATGAATCCCAAAAGAATGGAGAATTTTGTTTTAATTACTTTGGAGTATGGAGGTTGTATCGGAATTTTAATCCAGTCTATGTGCTACTGATTTCTGATGCTGATTGGGCTCGAGGCCTGGACAAAAGACATCATGGGAAGTTGGTCTCCGTTGATGCTCGCCAGCTTGCTTCAGCCGCTATGAATTATTGGCGTTCAGAATTGCTCTCAGTTGGCATGAAGGTTCTGGACAAACTTGAAGTGCTTTGCAAGTTTCCAATGAAGAATCATGATCCATCGTTCTCCCAAAGCTGGTGTCTTATCCATATCTGTGAGGTCGCAGTATGTCTTTTGCAATCAAAATATTTGAAGCTAAGGGATCAAGATACTAAGACGCTGCAGAGGTTTGTTACTTCTTCGACTGAGAGTGTTGTTGCTCGAATATTTCCCTTGGATTCAAGGAATTCCGTGACAGAGAATATGATTTCCTTTAGAAGAAATGATGCTTCAAAGAATGTGCTGAAACAAGTAATAGTCGAGTATACCAGCTCCAAGAACACGCTGTCTCTTGGGAAAGTGGAAGGCTTGTAATGGTCATTCTGGGGTCTGGGAAGCTGAATAGTGAACTGGATGAGAAGCTTGTGAAAAATCTGGAGGGCAACCCACCATGGATGGCGTTTATCAGGATTCTCTGTAGGGATATTAAACCTGGAAATGCTAGTCAAGTACCGAGAGAGGTGTCAGTTATATGGAGGTTACATGAAGCTTTAGTTGAAACTTATAGGACAGACTGGAGGAGGGTTAATGATTACATGTCGCCTGGTTGCTTTATGTACCTTGTAGAGCGCCTTGTGACTTTGGCAACTTGCTTCCAAGGTTTTGTTATCACTACACGCTCCTGTTTTGTGGAATGGCTTCTATACCAAGATGAAGACACCAACTTGAGTCTGATGACGGCCAATGTGCGACCATCTTTGGATGAGATTGTTGGTTTTGTGATTGATGTGGTTTGTGGCTGCGTTTTCAATAAGGAAGATATGATTGAATGGATCAAAAAGTCCAGCAGAAATTGGAAGAACGATTATTCACCACTCTTGCTGAGATTGGTTGTGCTGCTTTGCATGGTTTGTGTGAACTTTGGGAAGGGTCTAAATATACTGGATGAGTTGCTGGGGAGGAGCGATATCACGCAACTCCTTCCGTGGGAGTTTTATGACGTCCTTAAAAGCAGGAGGAGCCGCAACTCCCCAAGCATAATGCTGAATGTGCTAGTAGCTGCTGCTCTTCAGAAGATCGGAAATACTATGGTAATAGCAAGTTTTGGGGTCAATTGTTCAAGGTTCTCATGTTCAGATGCCATCTTTGTGGACATGAAGGCCAGCCAGTCCCAGTCCAGGGATGACATCTATAGAAAATTGTTTCCTAACATTCCCGTCCTGCAAGCTTCACACGCTAAATCGGTTGAAGCAGGAGCTACTCAATCTAGCAGTCGTGCCATTTCTGAGGAGGGGAAGAGTTGTAAGATTCTGCCTTCAAACTCTGGTGTGGTGGAACCATTAGAGACTAGTGTTGGGGACAGTCAAAATGCAGGTGAGGAACATTCTGTATCGAACGAGTCAAATCCAAAGTCTTCGCCTGCGGACACTGCTTCTGGATCCCAGCATGGCAGCGGTAAGGAAACTGGAAACCAGGGGAAGAACAATGGCCAGAACAAGGAAGTTGGTGCCGCTTCTGGATCCCAACGTGGCAGCAATGAAACTGGAAACCAGGGGAAGAAAAAGGGCAAGAACAAGAAACCCAAGAAGAGAGGAGGCAGAAAGTAGCCATCAAATCTCTGCTTATATACATAAATATATATATGTATGTGTGTGTGTGTGTGTTTGTGTGAATTTTGTTTTGCTGTATAAGAATTTGATGTTTCTGTTGGTGTGATATTAACCTTTTAATTTGAGTACATCTCTGGAAATGTTGAATTAAAAGAGAATGCTTGAATGTGTTATATTTGAGGCATCTAATTGGGTTCAAAAAAATTAACGAATGTTGTGTTCTAAAAATCATTGAAATTTCATCGTTTCAATTAAATAAGTAAATGATTTCAAATTGAATTGATATCGAGACTTGCAACATAGATGATTCGATTGTTGAAATTCGATGTGGATTCTATCCCACAACTAATCTCCATTTAATTAAAAAAAAAAAGGTTCAATTCTCTTAAAGGGCCTACTTTCGTATATGTGTTTAACAACTTGATGCTTCTTTGGATGTAAAACCATATATTATGAAGTAAAATTATTAAGGTGCAAAATTTTTATTAACTGGATTGAAATGTAACAAGAAGTTATTTTCTACTTTCGAACACGTCTCAAATTCAAAACAACAGACGAACAAAATGAGTCTTTCAACAGAGGCAGACCCTTAAAACCTCAATTCTCGTCACTCCCGAATACCTTGACTCTCGACAATGGCTTCCTCAAGTAGCCATCCACCTCGAACTTCTTCGGCGAAAGCTGCCGGTACTTCTCAAACTGCTCCGTTGCCTCCGCATTCCGATCAAGCAAACTGTAAATCATCCCACGGCAAAAGTACGGCCGGAAGTCTTTCGGGTCCTCCTTTACCAATTCATTGTAGCTATTCAATGCGTCCTCCACATTCTTCTGCAGGAACTGAACCTGCGCCATTATCAATTTAACGTCTCGAGCCTCCTTCGCCTTGTTCTCCTCCTCCGCAACCTGCAATGAATCCTCCAATCGCTTTATCACGGCCTCGCCTTCGCCGCAGCGGTCCATCAGCAGGGCGTTCTCGAACAACGCCTCGAATGACAAGGTGTTCGAGGCGAGTATTTCCTCGAACACTTGGCGGGCACTTTCGTTTTCGCCCATTTCGCTGAGAACCCTAGCCATCATGAATTTCCACTCGGTGGCGGAGGGTTGCGCCGCGACCAAGCGCTGCAGGATCTTGAGCGCCTCGTCATCCTCGCCGTTTTCGAGCTTCTGCTGCAGAAGCGATTTCAGGGCATCGATGGCTTCCGAATTCGAACCCAGGAAGTCGGACAATGGCGATGAGGATTGGTTGTTCTTGTCATCTGTGACCTGGGTAGGCGCTTCTTCGGTCAATGCAGGCGGAGGTTCGGCTCTAGCGAGCAAAGTCGAGGACTTGGTAGTGAACACGGCGGCGGTGACTCCGATGAGAATGGCCGCTTTGGCGTAGCGTTTGAGAGTTTGGAGAATCGGGTTTGGGTTGCTGTGGGAGTTTCCTGTGAGGAGGCTGTGACTTTGAGGGCAGGGACATTGTGGGAATTGTGGGAATTGGGAGGGGCAAAACGGAGAAGATAAGGTTGGGTTGGTTTAGTGGGAAGGTGTTTGTATTGGAAGAAAGAGGAGGATGAAGAGGAGGCGAGAGTGGAGGAGGAGTTCATGGTTGAGCCGGCGGCTGAGGAGTTGCGGAGATGACAAGTATTGGGATGTTTTGTTCGGGGTTTACGGTGGCGGGTAGGGGAGTGTCAAAGTGTGACTTTTACTCTGACTGACGGTTTGGTCATCCATGCAAGGGCCAGGGCCACTCCCATTAATCATCAAAGTCCAAATAAATAAGCCCAATTTCGAACTACGTTCGGTTTGATCCCGAAATGAATACGTAGGCAATCTAGTACGCATTTCTAGATACAACTGCAAAATCCAGATCACTGAACTGAACTTCTGATTCATTCTGAGTCATATTTATTAAGAACTATGAGTGACTTGATTTTATTATATAAATCCGTAGACAATTTGAGATTTTTCTTAGAGCACAACCGCAAAATCAAATTAACCCACCATCCATTTTCAGTTAGAATCAAAAGGTTTCTCCTTGAAGCGAGGGAGGATACATATTTGTTTTGAATGGATCGAACTCGAAATTAATAAAACTCGATGCATATGAATAAGTCGCATCTTTATGGTCATTTATTTTTCCATGGCGCAGGCCGTTTGCACGGAGGCTGGCATGCTTGCTTTTGAGATGGCGGACGGCCAACGTAAAGAAGAAGGAAACCGAGAAGAACATGTCGTTGCCAAAGTTAAGGAAGTAAATTACGTTATCATGGTGTACTTTGAGCAATGTAGGCATGAAATCGATCTTCTTTGAGTACTACATAATTGCAATGCTAAATATATTTACAGCAAAATAGAGAACAAATGTTACATGGCTGGTTTGTAGAGCGTCTAGAGACCGTATTATACTCCCAACCTCTTAACGCCGCATTCAGAGCAGAACTTGGAGGTTTCTCTCAAGTACGGCGCCCCACATTCATCGCAAAACTTGGCAGGACTGGATGGCTGGAATAAAATATGATCAGTAAGGAACATTTCTGATGTGGTTCGTCAATATATGCTTCATCAGATTAGACAAACTTCATTCTAAACATAGCGAAAACATCAAGAGATGAAGGTGAACTAAAAACACAGCATGCAAAATAGAACTCACCAACACATGCAAACGTCCCCCTACGTGGCCTCCAGTGAGGGGTTGTAAGCAAACCATGTGTTGCGACATGGTTGGGGAATGGTGAGCATGAGCGATTTCAGGCAGGTGCGAGGTAGCACCGCATTGATGGTTTTGAGAATAATGAACAGCATGCGGACTTTGGTTGATGGATTGGTGATGAGTCTGGTAAACAGGCTGAAACTGAGGCTGGTGCGACAAGGGTTGCATATGATGCTTACACGAAGGAGTCGTTTGCTGATTCTGTGGCTGCCAAAAGGAAAAGGATAAATCTCCGTTCTCGGATGGACAAATGTTTTGCATGTACAGCAACACACGGAGTGCCAAAAACAATCTTGACATAGGCTGACGATGCTCTTCTCAATATATTGACAATACAATCAAACAAAAACATTCTTGCACTAATCATTAAGCCTAAAAATAACTCATACTTCACTTGTGGAGCGGAATCCCTGAGCAGCAGCCAACATGGAAGAATTATCAGTGCCAGGAAATGTCTGAAAAGAATAATTAAGAGGATGAATCGATAAGTCCACAGTAAATTTCCTTCTATAAGTAGCACAAAATTTAAATTTCCTTATCATGCAATCGTAATTTTTGGATGAACTCAAACATGACCACGTGGAGAAAGACCTATGTCATTACAAGTTAACAGCCAACCACAGTTTCAGAACGTTCTTTACTGAGCTGCATTCTTCACGGTTGATCTGACCTTAAATTCATTGTAAAAGTTAATGAAATGAACCAAGTATTGTAAAATAAACCACATCAAGCTTACAGGTAAACTGGCGATACTATTAGGCGAGGAGTTTGATGCAACACGTCTATACTTGTGTCTTGGAGAGTAGAACTTAAAGTCTCGAGCATAGACTGCTACTTCATCCCGACCAGTCAACCGTTTGAACCTGTAGCAAAGAGCACGAAAATGATGAAAGGAAAAGATTTAGGCACTCTTAATATGGAGTGTGGTAAGCTAACACTGCCCAAAGAGCATTTATTGCGCAATGGAAAGCATTGATCAAGTCTTCAGAAATGGAAGGATCATAAAACATATCACACTAACTTACCACTCAGCATCATCAGTAGGCATCCTAGTAGGCTTTTCAACAATATCCAAACCATTGACTACCACAAAACGAACTCGCTTCTCTTCTTGTATGACCAACTCTGGAAATCTCGTCCTCGTTTCAACGGATGTGGCCAACTCTCTTCTTCTAAATGTACGCGATCCTTCAGAACGATACAGGCAAATCAGATAATATCACGAAAAAACGATAAGATTCATCAGGTAAATTGGATTCAGCAATCAGCATAAATGTTAGTGAGTGCAGAGAAACTGAATACCTTTTTTGGGAAACTTCTTCGCCAAGCATCTGTACAACCCACCAGATGCTTCAAGCGCAACCCCAATTGTCTTCTCTCGAAATCCACTCAAGCTTGAAAGCCTAATATTCGCATCGTTAACCAAAGTTTGGTACATATTTGCCACATACATCAATGGCAAAGCCAGCCTGGGGTTGCCTTCATACCGCACCTCTCCAGGCTTCCTCTTGTTTAGTTTTTCTTGCCCAGAGTGAGACAGAGCACCATTGTACTCAGCAGAAGAAGCAGCCTCAGAATTAGGCACTTCAACCACATGTTCACTAATAAAATGATCCACAATCAGTTGCAGAAACCGTGCCCTAGCCGATTCGATGGGCGAAACATCTGAATCCAATCCAAATCCAAACGGGTTCGATTCAAAATCCAAACTTAGGATCACAACTACAAAAAAAAAAAAAGGGAAGAAATTGTGTAAAAGTTGTTACCTTGAAGTGACAAGAGACAGTAGGGAGCCCTGGAAGTGGAAGAGCCGCCGCCACTGCTGGCGGAGCGATCGTCTTCAACTCCAAGGCGAACCGAGTGAAGAGGCAAAGAATTGGTATACGCTTCGTGCATACAGCCGTCGACAACGGCGCCGGAGCCGTCGTCCTCGCGGAGGTGGGTATCTTCAGCGACGGAATCACCATCGATGGAGTCGATCTCTGCGGCGGGGCGAGCAGCGTCGGCGGTGTTGAGGTCGTGAAGAGCGTTGCCAATATAGGAATTGGCGGGCGGCGATCTCATGGCGTAGTGCTGCTGAACCCTACTCCCCATTTCTTCAAATTTCAGTTCAAAAACCAAAGCTGATGACAGCCGTCCGAATTCATCATCGCCGTCGATTCTGGACAATAAATATCGAATTGCGAACTGCAAAGCAGAGAGTGGGAGGAGGAGGAAGACATTGTGCTAATTAGGGAAGAAGGTGGTGGTGGTGTTTAATTAGTGATTAGTGAAGTTCATTAGCGGATTAGTGGTGTGCTGTTCGAAGGCTAATTAAATTTAACGGCTATACAGACGACTGAGAAACGAGAAATCCAAGGCTGAGACCGTACCTCCCCAAAAGCGGTTTCCGAACCTCACTCCGATCTCCGCACCAGCTTCCAAGCCAGGTACACGGCTCTTGGCTTTTCGGTCTTCTTATATCACTTCTTGTGGAAGAGGTGGAGGAGGTGGTGGTTTTCCTTTAAATTAAGCCCAAGCTTGATTTAATTTTTAAATACTGCTAGGTAGATTAACTTTTTAAATATACACAAATTATGTGATGTGTTACTAATGCAAAATAAGCATGTCAAGTAATCATGCCCCTTATGCGTTGAGCGACACACGTGCTATAATAGTCAGCGACAAAGGGTCACAATCCCGCTAGGTGAGCTAACTCCAAAAACCCATCTTCAGTTTGGATTGTAGTATGCAACACGCCTACATGAAGCCAGAATCGCTAGTAACTGTCAATCAATCACACAACACTGAATTCGTTCCCAAGCCTTGTGAACATCGCCATGTCACATTATGGGAGATATCCATGTCCGAAGGCGGGGCTAGTTACTGGAGTAAAGTCGTAATGGAAGGTGCGACTAGATCACCTCATTTTCACATCACAAAATGAAGCAAGCTACATCTTAGTTAAACTTAGGGATGGAAGTCTTTCTTTCGTTTCTCAACAGTGAAGACTAAGCTCATGAGCTTATAATCCTAGACCAGAACAAGTTTATGAGATCCCCTTTTTTACGTCATATGTCCCTCCATGTGGTGACGTTGGGGAGTAAAAAAATGAAAGATAGGGATAGGGTTTCCCTCACTTTTGGGAGGGCTATCAGAGCGCGCCTGATAATTGCATCATTGTGCCTGGGTTGACGGCTCTCAACCACATGGATAGTTCAGTTTGGTCATCAGGGATTTGGCATACTTCTCCTATTCAAACCGGAGTTTGAAACCAAACTTCTACTCAAAATGATAGATAGGGAGATTCATGTGAGATCTACGCCCAACCTTGACCTATGTTATTTTGAGGTCATATCTAGTATTTAAAGTTTGCCTTGATTTGGTACCACTCTCGCGGCCCATCTGAAACAGTGCTTAACCCTAGATGTCTAGTTAACTACTATGCCTCAACGTATTTCGGGAAGAACCAATTAGCTCTGAGTTAAGTGTCATTTCACCTCTAACCACAACTCATCTGTTGATTCTTCAACATCAGTTGGTTTGGATCTCCATTTGGTTTCACCCAAGCTTCATACTGGTTGGATAGATCACCTAGTTCAAGTCCATAAGCGTGACAATTTTCTTATTAAGACTCGTCTTCGCTACGATTCTGGTGGGTTCCCTTAACCAAGCAAATGCCTATGAGTCGCCCGCTCATTCTTCAACAGGCACGCAGGGCAAGAGTTGTGTGGGCCTGCTTTTAGAATGCCTAAAAATGCGTTTCTAGCAACAAAAGGGCTTCCGTCTACGTTTAGCGGAAACTCAAAATAATTTTCGGTAATAAAAGCGTTTTCTAAACAAGCACTTTCAAGGTATTTAAGACTTGAAAGTAATGATTTATTAGTAGTGAAAGATAAATCTGTTTGATTTATTGGAAAAGTAGCAAATTCCTACAAGATGATATGCCACCACAACCTCCGTGAACACTGAACACTACCCTCCAAAGTGTTCACACTACCTTACTTCCAACACCTCTGGTGCTGCCATCGCCACCATTGTTGTCTCCATCATCAAACTTATCCCACTACCATGGCAGTCGCCACAGCCGACCACATTCCCCCACATTGTGATAGCTGATTCTGCTGGTATATTTGCCCCCATGACCACTGCCATCGTTGTTGCTGCTGCTGCTGCGCCTCTCGTCCTGCCATTTTTAACCTAGATTAATAAAAATAATAACAAAATACAATATGATAATAGCCCGATATAGCCAGCCAAAGCCATCTTCCAAAGCACAACATAAATAATGGACTAAAGTAGAGGCAAAGGATTGCAAAGAGATAGAGCTACTTGAGGACATGGCCATCTAGGCTATAAGATGTCGAGTGAAATTTGCACCTTGCTAGTCAAGCATTAGCTTCATCGAATTTAACTGAGTCTGGTCAATCATCTCTCCTTGTTCTGCATATTTTTCGAGTGAAACTGGATTACATAACAATGCCTTCCAATTAAGCTATTCCAGCTCCAACATGTTATCCAACAATCACAGTTTCAGGATACCGCAGCTGGACAAGTTGAGAAGGAAATGTAAGAAAAAATTATGAATTCGAGAAGTAGTTTATAAAACTATCTCAACATTCAAAAGTATTTGCTAACTTATTTCATAAAGGCTACAGAGGGAAGAAAAAAATAATAATAAACCTCACCCTGGGAAAAGATTAAAGATTTTGAGCATCGAAGATTTTTCCTCCTCGGACCAAAGAGAATCTTATATTATGCCTCAACATTCAACAGATAACTGTCATATTTCACCCGTCCGTGCAGACACCAGTTCCCAGTCCTTGTGTTCAAATACTTCCAATTAGAAGAAGGCAAACCATTCCTTGATTCTAATTGAGATACTCAACACATACCAGCCAACCAAGGGTGGATAACCAATTACCCCATCGTCTCAAGTTCCTGCATTAGGAATCACGTGATCACGAGTTCCAGATATTAGACCCCTGTTTACCATTTCAATCTGCAACTCAATGGCTTCATCCAGATTCCCTAGCTTATAGTACTTTCTTAGCAGACTAATGCAGAGAATCTCGTCAGGAAGGATACCTTTCCCAATCATCTCATCAAGCAACATTTTTGCTTGTTTCACCTGGCCAAACTCAGAAAGCCCCCAAATCAAGGAAGTATATGCATACAGATCAAGTTCCATACCGATTTCTCTCATCCTCTTTTGAATGCTCAAAGCTTCTTCAAGATTTCCATGCTTTAAGTTTCCATCCATTAGAGTGGTGTAAGCAGCTTTATCCGGAATCAAACCCTTATCTACCATTTCGTTAAAGAGCTCCTTAGCTGCTTCAATGCAATTATTTTTACAAAGACCATCAATTAAGGCTGTAAAAACTGCTACATTGGGTTGCAAACCAAGGTCAGGCATCGTCCTAAAATGACTAGTTGCCTCTTGGAACAATCCCTTTTTGCACAAACCATCAATTAATGCACAATATGTTACAACAGTGAGCTCAATACCATTGTCTCGCATTTCTTGTATAAGATTAAGCGCCGCCTCGGTTTTTCCGGCTTTGTAATAAGCATCCATAAGTGTTGTGTAAATGAAATGATTTGCAGTTAATCCATAACCCTTCATTTCCTTGAGCACAAGCTCAGACTCTTCAAGCTTATTTTGGGAGCAAAGACCCCAAATAATGGTTCCGTAGAGTAATAAATCTGGTTTAAAGCCCTTCCCCTTAATTTCATTCCAAATTTCCATAGCATTTTCTATCCTCTTGGCTTTAATATATCCATGAAGAAGGGCAGGTACATATTTGCTGGTTAGGAATTATTCCAGATTTCTGCACTTCCCTAAAGACTTCTTCTGCTTCGTCCATCCTCCCGTCTTCACATAGCCCGTCAAGTAGAGCTGTATGGGTTACAATGTTCCAGCTAATCCCTGCCTGTAACATCTCACTTTTCAGCTTCAGTGCTTCACTCAAATTCCCAGCTTTACAATTCGCATCAATCAATGAAGTATAGGTGAACTCATTAGGTAAAAGACCAACTCGTTTCATGTCCATAAAAATCTTGACTGCCTCTTGCATCATCCCTTCCTTGCAGAAGGCATCAATTAAAGTGCTATAAGTTATCACATTTGGCTTCAGCCCATTATTATTCATCTCACGGAGAAAATTCAAAGCTTGGGGCATTCTATCAAATTTACAACTACAATTAATCAAAGAATTGAAGGTTATTGTGTCAGGTTCACAATCTGCATCCTTCATTTCTTCAAGTATGCGAACCGAATCATCTAATAGTCCAACCTTCCCATATCCATCAATGAGAGAATTATATGTCACAACATCAGGTGTAAGGCCCATCCGTTTCATTTGTGCAAATAAGGAACTAGCAGTATCCAAATCACCTTCTTTGCACATATAACCAATCATTATATTGTACGTGAAAACTGATGGATTAATCCCAGCCCCAAGCATATCCTTAAAAAACTTCCTTGACAAATTGCCATTCCCCGGCTTTGATAACCTACGCAAAAGCGCATTACATGACCGCACTTTTGGCAAAACTCTAAACTTCTTCATCATCAAGAAGCACTCACTTGCTTCCTCAAGCATTCCAACCTCAACCAAAACACCAAACAATGCATCGAACACTCCAAATCCCAGACGACAAACATTCCTCGTCAACCACAACACATCAAACACATCACAACCTGGCAATGCCCAGCTCAACAAGACCAACTCTCTAAGAACTTGATGGGCATCAAAATACATTTTAGCAAAAAACAGTATGTGAACCAAAATACAATAAGACTCAGTAGTGTGGCGAAACCCAATTCGGGTTTTTGCGCACTTGAACAATTTCAACGCCAACTTGGGATCACCCTTCAGTTCCACCAAAAACCTGGACACCCATATCGGCGCCAATGCCGAATCAAACAAGTTCACAATTCTGGGATCATCCCAGTAATCGTGTTGAACAATTCTACTCAAAGAATCAGTATTTAAACTTTCGGGGAACGAACTGGGTTGGGATTTGGTGACAAACGGGAAGCGAAAAATGCATAAGAAACCGGTGAACCAAACAAATGGGCAAGCTATAAGAGAAGTAGCATGCGATGATGATGAAGTTAAAGAAGATACATTGATAAAACGGCAATTAGATGGGTACTGAGGAATCGAAGACAGAGGGCTTACTCGATACGATGAGGAGGAGGAGGCTCTGCAACCCGTTCGGAAGAGATTGCGAAGAAACAGCAGCATCTCTGAGAAGAAGGAGATGAAGAAAAATAAAGAGAGAAGAAAACGAGAGCGGCCGCTTCAGTGAGCTTCATTTTTACAGAAGAGAGTGGACCTCCATGGATTTGCAGATGAATACGAATAATGGGCGCTCATAGCTCGTGCGGTGAAGAAAACGAAGAGGAAATTGGAAAATGTTTGTTTAGGGTTTAAGGGTTTTGAGGAAGTTGGAAGCTTTGGGGATGGACTCTCAAGTCTCAACTGATCAAATGAGCCTGGCTGCAAGAGAATTTACCGAGTACAGAGGCTGACCCGACAGGCCC